ATATATATATATGTATATATTTTTTTTTTTTTTGAATTGCAGTTTTTTTTATATATTTTGTATTTTTCCTTTACAGGTCTTGAAAAAAACAGACCCAATCTTCTTTTGGGTCTAGCAATTGTCCAAAAGGCAAAATGTGCAGGAAGCTTTCCTCAAGAAGTTGATGAAAAGAGACCAAAAGTCACTATGTCCAAAGACCCTATGTGGATCCCGAAACCACCTGTCCTCTATGGTTCTAACAAACTGGAGATATTCCAACCCTATGATCCAGCGACTCCTGTTCATTTTTCTCTTCCTGGTTCACCATCTTGCCCTGGATCACCATCGGATTCATCCTCTTCCGGTTCAATTACTGTACCATCTCTTTTGACTCCCAAAAAGGCAATTCCTCCTGTCTCATCCTTTGCTACTACAGAGTCCACTACTAACAGAAACCCAGGCAAGAATTCTACATCAGAATCCAGTAATAAAAATCCATTGCAGACAATTTTAAAGTCTTTGTTTGGTGGTAAGCAGTCTGACTCTGTAGTCGCCACGGATGAAAGTCTTCCAAAAACCGCAGTAGGTGCCAAGAAGACTCCAGTCTCTCAAGTGTCTGAATCAATGGTGGATCCAATTGTCCAACAATATGGACAGAAATCCAAAGTAAAAGAGATAGAAGAAGATAAAGAAAATGACTTTGACAGACCATATGACCCTGAAGAAGAATATGATCCTGCAATGAGTAATAAAATGTTTCCCACCCAAACCACTAAAAAAATCAAATTTGAAGCCTCTGAAACATCACATGTAGATGATGTGGCCTATGATCCAGAAGATGATTCCATTTTTGAAGAATTTCAGAGTGATGTTCCTTTGACAAAGCTTGCTGTTCCAACTCAAAATTTAGATTCTCCGTCGTGCCCAGCACCAGTTTCCAGTTCTACTCCAGCACAAAGTTCTAACCCAGTTTCACCAAAACCAAACCTTACAGGCACTATAGTTGTTTCAGCTGCCACATTGAGTGAACAGCAGAGGATGCTCGAGGAGCTAAATAAGCAAATTGAAGAGCAAAAGCGGCAGTTGAAAGAGCAAGAAGAAGTACTGCGACAGCAAAGGGAAGCTGTGGGTATGTTCATGGCTCAGTTTTCTGTTTCTGATTCCTTAATATCTCCACCAACAAAAGCATTACCACTCAGCCAGTTGTCATCTGCGCAGGGTGCTGTAATTCAAACAGAATCACAGTCTTCAAATCAAATTGACATGCCTAGCAGCCTTACAGAGACTGAAAACAGTTCAACTGTGAAATCAGAATCTGTTAAGCTAGAAGAAACAACTGATGGCCAAACATTAAAAAACAATAAAAATACAGTTGCAGGGGAAGCTGGAATACATAATAAAGAATGTGACAAGGAATCCTCTGCTGGAGAGATTGAGGACTCTGATGTAGCTTATGATCCTGAAGATGAGTCACTTTTTGATGAAATCCAAGAAGATGTTTTTAAAGGAGGCATTGCAGTGACTAGCAATTCTTTCTCTCAAGGAGTGCAAAGTCCTTACAAAGATGTTTCTCCAAATTCACCCCACCCCAAAAAACGAAGGTCATCGCCAAAACGGCGAAGTCGTCATGAAAAAGACCATCGCAGAAGTCCTTCAAGAAGGTCACAGCAGCGTTCTCGTTCACGTTCTAGGAGACGTAGAGACAAGGATAAATACAAAAGAAGTGAAAGAGACCGGTCAAGGTACAGAACTAGAGATTCACCTGAGCGGTCAGGGCACTATCGCAAAGACCGTACCACACGTCGACATTCTCGAGGGCGAAGAAGATCACCATCACCCCCACATAAGAAACATTTTGCATCCCTTTCACCAAAACATCACAAAGGACCCGTTTCTCGGGTCATTGAGAAAACAAAACATGGAAGCATTCCATGGGATGCTCGTGACTCTGTTTCAGAAAAATCTGTGACAGTGTCTCCAATTACAGTCAAAAAGGATCCAGATGGACTAAAGTTTGAAAACAATCTTGTTGAGAACCCTCATGGACACACACTTGAATTTGTTCACAAGGTCAAGACTGAGATTTCAGAATCTCCATATGGTCAAAAATTTAAAATGGAAAAAAAATCATTCAGTCATGATGATATCTCAGTAACTGGTAACTCTTCACAGGAAAAGAAAGCCACACCACTGGAGACATTTTCCCATGACAAATATGAAAGCACAATTCCACTTAGAGAAATAGATCCACCCATTCGAGATTCACCTGAGAGCCCTGATCCAGATCCACAGTTTGTCAAACCTTCTAACTTAGAAAACAATGACTCTGCTAAAACTGAGGAAAATGGAGATACTGCAGAAGGTAACAGTGCTTCACTGCCATTATTTAAAGAGGAAAGTAATTATGTGCCTATTGGTGGCCAAGTTATTCAGGGTGCAGGACTTGAAACAGATACACTTGCAAAGGTTTCCGGATCAGATATTAGATTTCAGGAAAATAGTTTTTCAAAACCAACTATGCACAAATCTGAACACGGAGATCTAGAGAAAACAGAAATTAGACTTCCATGGCCTAGACCAGGCATTCTGAATCGAACTAAAGAGAAATGTGTAATGCAACAAGAAACCTGTCTGCAAAGTTCACTGTCAGATATACCTGAAGAAACAGGCATTCAGCATCAAAATATCAATAGAACTGATTCAAGGACTGTCATGAGAAATCAAACGTTAGATTTGTCTTTGAAAGACGAAAATCAAAACATAAACAATCCATGTCCTGATTTACTACAAAATCTTAGACCATCTATCTTAAATCCATCCATGGCCAAATCAATCAAAAGCCAGTTGTCAGATGTGTCTGATAATGAGGTCTTAGGGTCAAGGGATTCTTTATCTGCTCTGCATCATTCTACAGATCCAAGGGGACATGGTGACCAAAGTGTCAGTCCTCTGGAAAACTTACTTTGTTTAAAGACAAAAGACTTTAGATCACAGTCAGAGAGCCCTGATGGTAGATCAGGCAAGATGACATCCTTTGAGAAAACTGACTTTCAGCCTTATAGAGGAGATGCAAACTTATGTTTAACGGGTCACGGTCAAAACAGTGAAAACATGGCAAACATTACAAATCCAGACTGGAGAGGTTCACTTGAGGGGAATCTAGATCAGAATGTCCCAAGATTAGATGCTTGGAAAGATCTAGTCCAGAGAGGATTAGATCCAGTCAGAAAAGGGTTATTTGTAAAAAATGACTGGAGTGACCATCAATTTGAGAGAAAAGGGCCAATTGCAAGCCAGGGACCTGACAGAGAAAGTGTTAGAAACTTGGAATATAGAGAGCCAGAAAGTGGGGTAGGTCCAAAAATACTTAACGTAAGGCATGATGATACAGAACCAGCTAGACCAGATTTCATGGGAGCTGGACGAGAAACAGAAGTTCCTCAGATGCCATTTTTGAGACATGATAGAACAAAACTCGTTGGTTCAAATTTTACTGAACAAAGATCTGACAAAAGAAATCCATCTAACATTGGTTCATCTGGCATGAGAGTATCAGGAAGTCCAGACTTTATGGAACCAAGACTTGATGGACGAAAATTGCCTGTGGAAGGTCCTGAGCCTAATAGACGAGAACCACATTTTCCACATTTTGAAGGATCAGGACAAAAGAGAAATGAGCTGACTATGGATAGACATGGTTCTGACAAAGGAGGATCAAAAGATACAAATTTTAGGGGACCTTGGCCTGAAAGGAGAAGACCAAATATGGCTGAGTTAGAGCCTGATAGAGGAAATCCCATCATAGAGGGTTTTGGGATTAACAGGAGAGGACCAGGAAATCAAATTGTCGGAGGAGTAGGGCCTATTTCAGCAGGGCCAGAAAGTAGAGAATTATTTAAACTAGATCAACCAGACAAGAGAAGATCAGGTCTTGAAAGTGGTGGTAACCACGTGGAAGACACCAAGACTGAAATAAGGGGTTTTGAAGGTCCAGATTTCAGAGAAGTAACACCAGAAAGCAGAGGTTTATCCATGGATGGTGCTGAGCGCTACAGGACAGGCCCTCGAGATCAAGAATTTAGAAGCTCAAGGCATGACGAAAGAAGTATCACCATGGACGATCCTGGTTCTCGGAACAGAGGGTGTGAAGGTCCAGTTTTCAGAGGACCAGGGCCAGAAAACAGATGTGTATCTATGGAAAATCCTGAGCCAGAAAGAAGAAATCCTAGAGGCCCAGATTTTAGGAGGCCTGTAAATAAAATGAGAGGTCCTTTTATAGACAGCCAAGATTCTGACAGGAGAGGATCACGAGGGCCAGATATCTGGAGACCAGGAGATCACAGTATTCAGGTAGGGCCACATTCCAGGGAAGATGAAACAGAAGATGGATATTCAAATTTAGAAAACTCAGGGCACAACTGGAAAGATCCAGACTTCAGAGCACCTCATTCTGATATGGCAGGTCCAGCACTGAACCGAAGAGGACTTGGAGGTCCAAGAATGGGGAGACCAGGACCTCAACATGAATTTCTAAATACCACTAGTTTAAGGCCTGATGGTAGATGTCCAGAAGCTCCAAACGTTAGAGAATCGTGTCAAGAAGGATTATCTTCAGGTATAATTAATACAACAAACAGTAAGAGCTTTCCATGTGGCTCACAGTTCAAACATCCTGAATCAGTTAGAATGCCTTCAAATATGGAAAGTCCACAGTCTAATAGGGGATCACCAAACTTTAAAGGTATGGGGTCAAACAGAACATTTATGGAGGGTCCGAGACCCATTAGAAAAGGTCCAGGAGATTTTAGAGGACCAGGTAACGAAAGTAGAGGTTCAGACATTGAAGGTCCGGTTGTTGACAGACAAAATATAGGAGGTTCAAGCTTCAGAGAATCTTTGCCTGAAAGACTACATCCAGAAATGGAAGGCTCAGGACCTAACTGGGAGGAACCAGTTGGGCTAAATTGTAGAGATAAAGGAATCAGGCAACAAGCAGAGGACTTCAGATATAAAAAACAAAATGACTGGGGAGAGTCAGAACCTATTCCAGAAAATCCCGATTTAGCGTTCCCGGAACGAATATTTAGAAACTTTAGTCCCTCAAGGCCTATGAGAGGGAACATTAGAGGACGAAGGCCACGTGTCAGAGGCTTTACACGTGGTAGGAGTGGTGGAGACTTCGAGGGTCAGCGGATGGATAGAAGAAAACCCATTAGAGAGGCTTTAGACAATGAAAGAGAATGTTCAGAAGATAGTTGGGAGAACAGTAGCAATGTGAGTTCAGCACCTATCGAAGATGTCCTAGACGAACAAGGACATAATTGGCCGGGTCACTCTAATAAATGGAGAGACAGACATGAAGGACAAAGTATGCATGATCCGGGCCCTGTACAAGGTCCTAAAGATGACCGGAATGGTCCTGGTTGTAGGGGCCAAGGACCAGTTCAGGAAAATTCAGATATGATTTGTCCTGAATTTGGTAGAAGAGGACAAAGACATGAATGGAGAGAACCTAATAGAGAAAGTTCTGGGCCATTTTTCAGGGACGAAGGTGGTCCGGGCAACAGAGGACAAATTTGTGATAGAGGCCGAGGTAGAGGTAGAGGCCCAGGACCGGGTATGCAAAAACGTTTTTGTATGGGGAATGACAGAATGCAACACAACTTTAGGGGAAATATTAGAGACCCTAATTTAGACATACCTAGAACTCATAGGAGAGGTTCAGATTTAATGAATCCATGCCCAAACAGAAGAGCATTTGAAATGGAAGGACAGGGAAGTTCTGATTTAGAATGTCCAGAATCAGGCTACAGAAATCCAAACGATGAAAGTGTGGGATTTGATGAAGAAAATTCAGATTTTGGGGAGCTAGGATCTGGAAGATATGATGAGGACATGGAAGATCCTAGAAAAGGATTTGAGCAAAATTTCAGAAGAGAAAGGGGAGCTCCAAAAATGAGACGACAAAGACCAAGTACAGGACCTAGTAAAGCAGATATGAGGAGATGGGATTCAAACACAGAATTTCCTGAGTCAGATAGAAGAGGTCCAAACATGAGGGATAGGGACAGGGAACAAGGGCCCCATGATCAAAAAAGCAGTATGGAAAGAAGAGGCCCTCGTCAAGTTTCTGAAAGCCATGGCCCTTTTGAAAAACCTGCACCATTCAGTAGGTCTCTAGGTCCAAACAGAGGAGACAAACCATTTCCTGGTTTTGACAACACACAAAATCAGCAAACAGTGCAACCCCCAAGACACAGAGGTGCCCTACTTCCCACTCCAAAAGATTGTCCTCTTCCCCCTAATCAAATGATTAGAAATCACGATGCCTTTAATCCGACAACGAGGGAGTCAAGTAGAGGCAGAGCAGTTGATTATCGATTCAGGGGGCGTGCAAGAGGTCTACGACGGGGAACTCCTGGTAGATTTAGAGCAATGGAGGGAGAAGACGTAATGGAGGAAGGCAATTAAAATACAAAACAGAAGGGTTTAAAGGTAAATATGTAGCCAATAAAACAAATCCATACAGTCATGCATATAGAAGGAAATTTAAAACAGGCAAAATTTAAATTGTACATAGTTTTTAGGACACCAAGACTGAAAGACACCTAATGTCCCTAGAATGTATTATATTTTTCTAAAAATAAAGTTTTAGTGTCCTATAGTTTCATTACAAGTAAAGTCATGTATGGAGATTTGCAACAAAAAGTTTTGTTTATTTTTTCAATTTTTGAGTTGTTTTTGTTATATTAAAGGATGTTTGTAATTATGAGTAATCTACTGTTTGTACATGTTCATGTACATTTTGTAGTTGGAAATAACTGGAAATACTTTGTACAGAAGAGAAAATGGTTTCAGTCATTTATTTTTCGTTTGTTTAGATATTTTAACGTAGCCATAACATCACTACATTAGTGTTCATCTGGCTTGTATGTTCTGCCTGTAAAAACTTGTTTCAATGTTTTGTTTGAAAGCAACAATTCAATAAAACATCTCTTTTTAAACCTGTGTTAAATCAAACCTGTTTGAACTGTTTCATTGATTCATTGATTGAAAGGTACCAAAATCTGATACTTTACCACTTGTTGCTAACATACAGTGTCAATGTATACTCTGCATTTATACATAAAACAAACATTTTAGGTTTATTAATAATCAAAATTATTAACTATTTAGAATCAACTTGGCAAAATTTGTCATGAACCATACTGGATGGATTTTAATGAAACTTAAAAAAAAATCATTGGGTATTTATAACTAAACTTAAAACCAACAAAAAAAAACCTTTGGCCCAGTCAACTATAACTCTTGAGCTAACATTTGATCTGCTAGTTGCTCTGTGTTTACAACACATACTGTGACCTTATCGCATGAGGTGTGTGAGGTATGTGTTTCAAAGTTTGACCACCAGAACAACTCTTTTTTCAACATGATCATTTAAACACTGGCATGAAAGACGGTGGGCG